GAAGAACTATGCGCTTTGACATCAGCAGTACTGTGCTCCCATACCTACAGTATTTACTCCATTAAATTGGCTTACAAGGCTATAAAGAACACTGGAGCTGGAGCATGGAGCTATGTGGCTTTTGCTTATAGGAACCAATGAGGTATTGGCTTTCATCCTTTAAATGTTGAGATGACAGCTGGAATTTGGTTACTACAGTATATTCAGCAGCTCTGCTTAATCTCGATTTTTTCAAATAAAATGAAACCAACACTGAGGAAATAAAAAGTTTCTGCTTTTAAAATTGCTATCTTCCAGGTTACAGTACCATGGCGATCCAGCATATTCAATACTTTGCAAGTTACAGACTCAGTTTTTAATCAAAGTATAGAAATGGGTGCCAAAACACAAAGTAAAAGCCTCAAAAGTGTCAGGAATTAACAGCAGAGATGACCAGATCTGAATGGCTACCTTAGGAAACTGAGACCAGACTAGATACAGTAAAGTAAATGTTTTAATAAAAGAAAAAAAAAAGCCGGACTCTAAGTATGGCAAAATATATGGATTCTTTGGGCACAGTAAGAGACCACACAGTACAGCCATTTATTGATATAAAAGAGTCATCTATTCTTTATAGGACCCATAGTTCAAACATACCCCCAAAAAGGGGCCAATAATTATGAACAAAAGGCCTCCCTTGCATATATGTGTGATCACTAAGCACATAATTACACTGACTGCAATATACAAAGATCAAAAAACGGTCAACTTGTTTCACCTGTGCATTTGGCTTCTTCATGACTGTAACTTGAATTTCAGGGAGAATAGTGCTAATGCATATAAAAAAAATGCAAATTAAGTATACAGACAATCACACAGAAATACATATATGTCACCAAATACATATCTGTTAAATTTAAGCTAGGCTTACGTGGAGAAAGCGGATCAGCGGCAAGGAAGTCTGCATGCATATAGGCAAAAATGTCAAATGTAGCAGCTTACCAGTTCTTAAAGTGGAACTGTACTGCGCCTGAGTCCCACAAACCAACAATTCTATTTAACCAGTTGCCGACTGCAGATAGCCGAATGACGGCTACACTGTGGCTGGCCAGTTCTGGGAGGGCGTCATATGGCCACCTATCAGTGCTGTCTATCAGTACCCATCATCAGTGCCGCCTATCAGTGCCACCTCAGTGCCGCCTATCCGTGCCACCTTATTAGTGCTACCTATCAGTGCCCTTCAGTACTTTCAGTACTGCCTATCAGTGCCCATCAGTGCTGCCTATCAGTGCCCTTCAGTGCTGCCTATCAGTGCCCATCAGTGCTGCCTCATCAACGCACATCAGTGAAGGAGAAAAATTACCTGTTTGCAAAATTTTATAATAGAAACAAAGACATTTTTTTTTCTTCAAATTTTTTTGCAATTTTTTTGTTTATAGCGCAAAAAGTAAAACACCCAGCGGCGAGTAAATACCACCAAAAGAAAGCTCTATTTGTGAGAAAAAAATGATAAAAATTTCATATGGGTACAATCTTACATAACCGCGCAATTGTCCATCAAAATGCGACAGCGCTGAAAGCTGAAAATGGACCTGGTAAAGAAGGGGGTATAAGTGCCCAGTAGGCAAGTGGTTAATTCATTGGAAATATTCAAAGCAAACTCACCCATCCATCCATGTCTCCATGGTTTATTTTGAAATTAATTAAATTAATTTTGAAAAACACCTCCTATTATTTCTGGCAGTGGCCATCTTGAGAAAGGGCAGATGATTCATGTAGCGTTTACCTACTGGAATCCATCTGCCCTTAGCTCATGCATTGGCTGAGCTGAAAACCCTCCCTGTTCCTCCTGAAGACTCCTGGGATATATGAAATCAGTTGCCTAAGCAAGAAAACCAGGAAGTAACTGAGGAAATATAAAAATAATAGCTTAAAACAAGTAAAAAATAATCTCTAGTTACTAATGCTACAGCATAAGGCTTAAAAATAATCCATGTTGCTTGAGAGAGTGAAGTTCCACTTCAAGGGTTCATGTACACTGCAGCTGCTAAACTGACGTTCAAGAGCTGTTCAGTGTTTTTTTTTTCAGCAGCCCCTGAACTCTCCCTAATGTTTTCCTATGTGTCCATGTACACATAGTTTTTTACAGTCGTTTACAGGCAGTTACGTTTACAGTCGTTTTTTGAAACGCACAAAACTTGCGTTCAGGAGTAGATTTTACCAGCGTTTCAAACGCCAAATGCTTGTAATTGCATGTAAATGCAGTTAACTGCGTTTATAAGCGTTTGCGTTTAAAAGCGTTTTATAACTGTTCCATGTCCAGATGCTGTCCAGAGCCTTTTTTCATCATCAGAAATGCATGCAAAGCGTTTTCCATGTATTCAAGTGGACCCAGTACACCAGCGCAGTCAGTTGCAGGTTTTCTTGTGAAGGAAAAAAATGTTAGAATGTGCTGCATTATGCTAATGATGGGATCCATAGTGAATACAACCAGAAAAGATAGGTAATCTCAACACATACTGCTGTCTCTGCTTCTGCTCTCTCTATTTCTCTCAAAACATCTGAAATAGTTAATTATTTACTGTTTTTCAGTGCATTCTGGGCATTTGGGAAGGTCTCCTGAGGTTATCTTTTAAAAACGCTTCTAAACGCAAACGCCCATAAAAGCATCTAAATGCGCATAAACGCAGTATGCAAACACAGCTAAACTTACTTTTTTTAACCTACGTTTTCCAGCAGTCAGTTTCCATCATTCCGAAGAGTTTTCCAAACGCCCCGTGTACATGAGCCCTTAATGTGGTGGCTGCATTAGTTTTCCTTTTTTCAGGATTTTTTTTTTTTTACCTGGAGATCCTGCCATACACAGTTCTATCCAGGGTGACAACACTCATTGCACTGTGTCTATGGAGGAGCAGCATTGTCAACCTAGGACAGGAACTTTGTTTGAACTACAGAACACCTTCCCCTCTTCATATGAACATAACATAAGCGAGAGGTGGTAATAGTTCACATAAGAAAACCAGGCAAGGCTGATAACACTACTTGAGATATTACTGCAGAGTGCACTAGACTGCACTGGATAGTTGGCCGAATCAATAGGTATTTTTTGCCCTTATCAAACAGATATATTAACAGGTTTTCAATTGTCTTGTATATTTAACAGACAAAAAGGGAGCAAATAGGAAAAAGAGATCTGTGCTAAGCTCTTCAAAAGAAAAAAAAATGTGTGTATATATATATATATATATATATATATATATATATATATATATATATACACCATATGTCAGACTAATGGTGAAAAGAACCAGAGAGGGTTAAAGGGTAAACAGGAATCCAGAGCCCACTGCTAGTAGAGGAGGGGAGGATGTGGTCTTTCTCAAAGGAGTGCAGACTCTTACCAGCAAAATCAAATAGATATTTTAGAATGGCTGACCTACTTTTTCCATTTTTACTACACAAATCTGATTATTCTACAGAATATAGCCAGCTTAACCATACATCACTCACTTAATATATCAAGCAATTCAGGTCATGTTAACTAGCATTTATAGAGCTCGGGATCCATTTACGTTTCAAGTGTTAAGAGCAGGCTAAAACAGACCTAAAAAAGTTTTCATACAAAGTCAAATTACTTTTCGTTAGAGAGGTCAACTTTCTCTATTTCAATTCACAGACATGAAGTACAGCTGGTATAGTTATAAAAAAAAAGGCTCTGCTTCCCTCAAGAATATCCCATGAGCTCCGGTAACCTTACTTTAAGGCAAATCGGTGAGGATTTATGAAGGAGGGGGAGATTTACTATAGCACTCACCCGCCACCAGTATAAATAAATGATAGCGCCTGCTACTGTAAATTCTAGAATTCTCTGATAAATCTTGCCCACTGATGTATTGTGAGGTTATCAGCAGAGTCTATAGTGCTATAGCAGAAAAAGGATATTCCAGATAGAAACATTTAATATGCCAGGAAAAGAGTGTACATAGCATAGCAGACGTGTATTGATCTATCAATAAGGAGTCATTTTTGATAGGCTTTTGGGTTTGCAGCTGTTTGTTTGCATTTTTGCGCAAATACAGCATTCAGTGCAAATACAAGTTTCATGTACAGTAGCTTAAGCTTAGAGTATTTTGGTTGCCTATGCATTATGCTTATTTACTCAACAGGACAGTATACAGAGCACTGATGGTATACAATGTGCATTTAATATATTTATTTATTACAGGTACTTATATAGCGCCATCAATGTTCTCAGCGCTTTACATATATATTGTACATTCACATCAATCCCTAACCCTCAAGGGTGTACAATCTAAGGTCCCTAACTTACATTCATACATACACATATTAGGGCCAATTTAGACAGGGTCCAATTAACCTACCAGCATGTCTTTAGAGTGTGGGAGGAAACCAGAGGAAACCCACGCAGGCACAGGGAGAACATGCAAACTCCAGGCAGGTGGTGCCATGGTTGGGATTCGAACCAATGACCTTAGTACTGCCAGGTGGAAGTGCTAACCATTTAGCCACTGTGCTGCCCATTAACCTCCCTGGCGGTATGATTATTTCAGATTTTTGGTGCTGAAAGCGGTACCATTTTTTTGCTTGGAAATATGTGTTTTTTTATATTAGGCCTGTAATTTTTAGGAAAAACTCCCTGAAATCTGTCCGAACAAGAGTCTAGTAAACATCCCGGATATGATAAAACTTGAAACACGAAATCATAAATTATAATTTAATAAATACTCATAAAAAATAATAATATAATAATAATAAATTTAATTCAATAATATAATCAAACCAAAAACACTGAAATTTGAAATATAGCGCCAAGTTCGCACATCACTGGGCAAAGTCGCAAAATCGTTTTCAGTGTCTGATGACGAATTTCCCCACGAATCATTATCACTCAATTCTGCAAGTGGTTCTAATTTACTATCGCTGTTCTCTAGCTGGTCTAAAACCGCTTTTGACCTAAAGGGCCGCTTTTTGGACGCCATGGACATTTCTAAGTTTCCAGGCAGAAAGAACAGTAAAAATGCAGGCAGGGCACAGGGCAAAGCAGTAGGGACAAAATGTATGTGAAATGCTTTGATACAGGAATGTTTTGCTATGAAATAATCGTTTTAAAGAAAATGTAATTTTTTTAAAATTTTCAAATTTGCCGCCGGTTCCGGCGCCCGTACATCCCGACGTCACAGGGACCGGAACACGGAAGCCGGATGCCGGCATCGGCCGGAAGAGATGGCCAGGGACACTGCAGGGGACGCATCGTGGGAGCGAAGGACAAGGTAAGCGCTGTAGGGAATCCCTGTGCAACGCCGCATGGTAAGCCCGAGTGTAGCTCGGGGTTACCGCTTTTGGTACTGAAACTTTACCCCGAGGTACACTCGGGAATACCGCCAGGGAGGTTAATATATCATAACAACCAGTCGGGTGATTTGCATGATAACTGTACAGCCTTTCTGTTGCTGTTGCAAAGGCTTACTGAGCTCAGCATAATACCGTTCTACTATTTAAGGTATCAGCGTAGTTGACATTTATGGTACAATAATGTTTCGGTCTTAAATTATTTGAAAAGTACCGTATTTTTCGCCGTATAAGACGCACTTTTTCTTCCCCAAAACTGGGGGGGAAATGTCAGTGTGTCTTATGGGGCGAATATGGAGCGGCCGGTCCGGTATTTCCACCGCGGCCGCGTCAGAATACCGGGCGGGCCGCTCAGCTCTGCAGCGGGACCTTACCTGTTCCTCTATCCAGCGGCGCGCTGTCTTCTGTAGTGTGGGCACTGGGCATGACAGCCGGGTGCCAAGTGCGCATGCGCAAGAAGCGGTGCTTTTTGTGAATGGTAAGGCGGTACCTGGGACACATGACAGATCCCAGAAGCCGCCGGACCAATCACAAAGCGCAAGTGCTTCTCGCTCATGCGCACTGGGCACCCGGCTGTCATGCCGAGCGCCATTACAGAAGCCGGGAAGACAGCGCGCCGCTGGATCGAGGAACAGGTAAGATCAAACAAAAACTCTGCGGAAGTAAGAGCGGGTACCTGTCAAATTCAGGTACCCGCTCCCCACCTCCCCAAAGGTCAGCAGTCATCTGTACTGTCCGCAGTCTCTGGTCATCCCTGTGCTGTCCGCAGTCTCTGGTCATCCCTGTGCTGTCCGCAGTCTCTGGTCATCCCTGTGCTGTCCGCAGTCTCTGGTCATCTCCTGTACTGTGCCTGCAGTCCATTAGTTCAGAATTTTTTTTTTCCTGTTTTCTGCCTCTAAAACCTAGGTGCGTCTTATGGTCAGGTGCGTCTTATACGGCGAAAAATACGGTATACCGCAACATACCATGTGCTCTAGGAACCCCCACCTTTCCCTACAGTAACTACAGCACATGCTGTATGGTGCACTTACTTTAAGACATGTTAATCGGTACCTATCCTAAATGGCCAGTTGGTTGTGCTTGCCGCTCAAGTCCTTCCCTAGTGCAAACCTATCATTCCTTCTTTAACAAGTTCAGGTCCAGAGCAATTTTTTAAAAAATGTTTTGCATACATGTAAAAATCTTAATTTTTGGCAATAAAATCACCTAAACACACAAAACATTATATATTTTCTGAAAGCAGAGACCCTGTAGAATAAAAAGGCGATAGCTGAAATTTTATATGTTATTTGTGCAACTGTTTATTAAAAGCAAATTTTCAAGAAAAGATATAATAAGATAAATTTTTAGTGCAAAACCACACAATATAATACCCATTTTTGGTTAAAAATATAAAAGATGAGGTTGCATCGAGTAAATAGATACCAAACATTCCATATCTTAAAATTGTGTTTGCGCATGATATTGCCAAAAACTATAATGCCTACAAATCCCCATGGGTAAAGCTTTAAAAGCCTTTACAGGTCATCAGTTTAGAGTTAACAAGGAGCTCTTTTGCTAGAATTATTGTTCTCACTCTGATGTTCATAGCAATATACCACATGTGTGGTGCAACCGCGGGTTACATATGCGTGCACACCCTAGGCCTGCATTTGCGTTTTGCACAGGTGTGCGGGGCAATGGGGGCTAGGGTAATTTAAAAAAAATCTTAATATGTTTTATTAGAATTTTATTTTTTTTTTTACTTTTTTTCTATTTTTACTTGACTGCTATCACAAGGGGTTAATAAACCTCTATGTGACAGCATTGGGCAGGTGACAGGTACGCTTTATGGAGACATTAGGGGTCTAATAGACTCCAGTGTCTCCCTGCCCTTCACACCATCTAACCAAGCACAGATTGGCTTGGTTGATGTGTCCCCTGGCTGTTTTGGCCAGGAAAGGGTGAATCTGAAACTGGAAGTGACATCACTTCCTGTTTCAGTGTTTGAATGTGAGGTCGAGGCATGACTTTGGCTCAGTCTCACAGTGCTCTCCCTCTCCAAGCCGACGGTAGTGTTCCTGGGTTCCGGTGGGAGCAACTGTATTGCCGGCTCCTTAATAATGATCCCCATCACTTTCACTTTCAAGCCGATGGAAAAACTCACACAAGCTGATGGCTGCTACTGCAAGCTGAAATGGTTAAGATGCCTCACCCTCACAAAGCCTCTGATATTCATAGATAAAGAGACACAAGGTAAAGAGACGGCAGATACTGTATTATATTTTCAATGTAAGGAGACTAATGAAAATTTGGCCTCTAATTGGTTACTGTACTTTGGAGAAAGCAGTAATTTATGAGCAAAACTCCATTTCTTAAAGCAAAACTTTACTCTCTCAATCACCAATAACTATTTTTAATATTTATGTTGTTAGCCTTAGTACATAGATAGGAAAGGCTATTGTATTTACTTGTTTTAAACTTTTTTTTTTACAGTTCCTCTGTTGCTTCTTGGGCCATAATGAAGTCATACATCTCAGGAGTCTTCATCTGGAGGAGGGGTTTTCTCAGCTAAGCACAACCTCCTGTCTGCATGCCTGAGCTAAGGGAAGAACGATTCCAGGAAGTAAATGAATCATGCATCTTCTGCCCTTGCTCAATATGGCCATGGCTAGCAATGCTAGGAATGTGTTTTTCAAAGTGATTTCTCAACAATATAAAGCATGGAGACACGGATGGATGGGGGAGTTTACTTTGAATATCAGCAATTATTTCAACAGCATTTTCGGGTTTTGGTGCTCAGACAAAGGTATGTTCTGCTTTAAGAAGAGTAACTTTCTTTTCTACAATTTATATTTATGATAGATGTAGTTGCATTATAAGAGAGTAGTTCCAATATTTCATTCTCTCCCAATTATATTTGTATGAGCTACAGTGTTGTTACTTTGGTTAAATTGCTAAATTGACAGGTTGGAAATCCTCATTTTGAATTAAGAGCTCTCAAGCCTTTATGAAGAGCTGTGTTGATATTTTCTCAAATCAGTTTGCTAATAAGATGGTAACATTTATTCACAAGATGCATTTTTTGGCGTGCAGAATCCTAAGCTTATTTCAACTCTTATATGATGGAGTGGAAAATTACCATTTCAGGCACTTTCCAGTTAAAATTGAATATGGTGCCTTAAAATGCTCGAAGTTTCTGTTTTTCACCCAGGTATAACTGTAGTACACTGGTCTGTTCCATTGCTCTAAAGTAGATTTGAACCCCCGCTGGACGACATTTAGTTTGCTAAAGCTCTGTGTATCATAAACAAGTGTCTTAAAAAAACTAAATACTTTTCACCATTTTTCATCCTTAGTTGCATCTCTATGCCCCGATGCCTTGCAGCCACTTCCTGTCTACATGCATATACTCCAGTGAGGACCCTGCACCAGGTTTCCTGGTGCTGACAACAGTGGAGGCTTGCGTTTATTAAAACAATCAATTGTAGTCTCCATTGGAAGCCCGTGTGACAGTATAATAACGCAGGCGAATATTTGAGAGATGGGGGCAGAGCAATGTTACCCTAACAAGTGACTGAAGAATGACCCCCGTGGCAGTATACAGCAGAAGGCAATATTTTAATGCAGATTTAAATATTAAAGTGGTTGTAAATCTGAGACATGAAATATGAACAAAGCATATCCCTCTATAATGTGTACTTGTCTCGGTTAAGAGCACTACATTTCATTTCTGTCTGCTGCTTCATTCCCCTGCTATCAGTATTAGTCACTTCTGACAAGTTTTCCTGACACCAAAAGAAAAATGGTGACAGGGGAGGGACCTCCCTCTGCCTTAGCTCTGTTCCTCTGAGTTGTGTGGAGGAGGGGTATGTTGCTTCCCTCCAATCAGCTGTCAGAACTGTTCTCACTGAGCTCTGCAGAGCTGAGCTCTCCTCCCCCTTTTTTTGACAGCTGTACAACTTTATAAATTCAACACTTTCAACAGATGTAGAGAGGAGAAGATTGCAGATAACCAGGTCCAACTTATGTAGGAGAATTTGTTTCATTTCTGTGTATCACCTGAAGCCAGTCGCTTCACTACGTATATGTAAGAGTTTGCAACCACTTTAAGTTATTAAAAAAATGACAGTAAAGTGCTAAAGCTTACATGAAATGTTGCACTGAAGTACAGTTGGTTTAGCAGTTACGTGAAATGTTGGGGACTGCATTTACTGTATGTGTAGTTCTGCCACCCTGGGGGGGTTATTCACTATAATGTAAGAGTTATTTTAAGTATATTAGTTATTTTACCTTACAATTATTTTCTGATTAAAATTCACAAACAGTAATATTGCATATGTATGGAATTGTTTTTTCTTATTATTATGACATGGATGTTTGCCTGTTGAACGTCTCTACTTCTCACAATTCTTTCTTGATCTGTGAAATGTTATTTTATCTTTTGACCCTTATAAAGAGAGTTGCCATATGACAGATAAAATTTGGATTTGCTACCAATGTCATTAATAGGAAAAAGACCAAAATGTCAATATTTCTCCTAGAAAAGATACAACTCTACAATTAAAGGGTAACTCTACTTTCGTGGGAAAAAAAAATCACAAATAATAAAGCATTTACTATTGCCGCAATTGTCATATTATAATTGAATGTTATTACAAATGACCTTTCCTTTTCAATCTGCAGTGCTGTAACATCCTGTAAAATGCAATACAATTTGGCTACCTGAAGGCCTTCTGTACACAGATTTGACAATAATTTTGGATAACACAAAGCTGATGTTATTGCAGTGATAGAACTGTTTGGTGTGTTTATTCATTATTTCTTCAACATCTTCTAACAGACTCTATGAATGCATTTTACCAACCTATTTTCTTAGACATAAAAAGTGAGATACCTGAAGGATCAGCTGACAAGCTCAGAACTGTTTCCACAGCGAAAATGTACATGTAAAAGTATGAGCACATTCTCCTCCTACGCATGTCAATGATTTGATAATGACCAAAATTTACTGATCAAAAAG